AAACTTTCCTTAGTCATTGATATGACAGCAGCCATGCCAGGGTCACCAATTTTGGTTGGCTGTATTCCCACAGAGTTCATCACATAACATAATCTCAAATTAAAGATTATCCTTTAATTCCAGGGCACTCCAGGCCAGTCCTGGAGGGTTTGCTGCCATATGTAGAGCTCTGTGTCGGTGATCTTTTCCAGTTTTGTCTAGATGGGTATCAAGTGTTCTCTGCGTATTGTAAGTGGGTAAGAGCTTTTGTGGCTTTGATAGGTTTTTCCCCCCTTTTCACTCTCCCTGACATGATTTCACATTATCAGCCCACACGCTTCCTCTCCTGGGCAGTTAACACTGAGGCTTTGTCCAGACTATAGAGTTATTCTGGGGTATTTTGGAAAAACTCCCCCACATCCAAGGAACAAGTCTGCTCTTCCAACATTTATTGCAGAACAGCACACACGCTCTTTTGGAAGCTCTGTCTTCCTCCTTTCACAAGGAGGAAGGGCTTCTGAAAGAGGAGGTTTTTCCAAAATTTGGTCCAGTGTACATAAGCCAAATTTCAGAAAAGCCTCTCCCGACAAAACTATCGGAAAAAAGTATGCAAATTGAGGAGCGCAATTTGCATATCTTTTTCCAATAAAACTCCGTAGTCTAGACATAACCTGAGTTTCACTCTGGCTCTTGCTTTGAGCTGGTTCAAACTAATGCATTTACAGGCTTATTTCTAAGCAAGTCTCTTGCTCTTTGGGTTGGCAACAGGCTCCATTTTCAGACTACATTTTAGTGCAATTTTGTCCTCTGAACTCTTTTGGTGCAACTTGGGATAGTCAGGACCTAAATATTCAAATTACCCATCCACCCTAAGTGAAGTTACTTGGGCCAGATTCTCAGCTACTGTAAATCAGCAATGTGCCACTGACATCTAGGCTTACTGTGTTTTGGCAGCAAGTTCTGAGCCAGATTTTTTTCCCAGTGAATGTTTCTCCAAATCAACATGTTCAATATACATTTTAATAAGGAACCTACTGTGAATTACTCCCATGTCTCCTCGGTGCTGGTTATCCAGGACAATGCCTCCATTCATGATTTTCTTCTTGCAAATCATTGCATTATGTGCTGTTTATTAAAATGTTATAAAATGTTTACTGTTTATTGCTGCAAAGCACTGGAGACGTTTACTTTGTGAAATGCACTGCCTGTATAGAACTTGTGATGCTGGATGTTTGCCTTGAATTCATTATGTTTGGCCTCATTCTTAGAGTTCACTGGCGATCTGCACGAGCATAGGTATTTGCCCACCTGGAACAGCTTTCAGAACAGGTGCCTTTCTATCAGCTGTGACAGGAAGACTGGTCCAATGGTTAGGCTGCTATCCTGGATGATCCAGGTTCCATTCCCTCCTCTGACAGACTTCCTGTGTGTCCTCAGGCAAGTCTCTCTATGCCTTGGTTCCCCATATGTAAAAGGGGGATAATAGCATTGCCTAATCTCATGTGGTGCTGCTGCCAATACAATTGGGTGATATTTTTCAGACTTCTTGGGGTAAAAATGCAGATTCAGTGAGCTCAAAATCTTTCATGAATTCTTGTTCATTTCACCCAATTATTTGTTTTGGAGTCGGGGAGATGGAGAAGCGATATCTTCCCCACAAAGCCTAAACATTCTGAAACATTTGTAATATTTGATTCTGACAATTTCAAAATTAAACATTTTGATGTTCTGGTTTGAAATATCCTTCCACTTTATTTAAATATCATTAAAACACATAAAAATGGTCCAAATATAGCAACATGGCTTAATTTTGTCAAATGGAAGTTTTTTAAACCTGAAATAATTTTCCCATCTATTTGCAATTGCCAACACCCCGCAATCCATTGTTCACCCAGCTCTAGTTGTGAGGAGTAATATGTTATAGATTGTGATGCACTTAGATATTACAATAATAGGACCAGAAATACCGTAGATTGCCATCTGATGAGTGCAGGAGTACAAAGATTATACTTTCAGAGGAAGAATTGTCTAATGGTTAAAGCGTAGAAAGGGGAGTCAGTAGATACAAGTTGCCTCTATGTTGTTCTTCCCTGTATGGACGAAATTACTTGCCTCGTACCTGAAAATAAGCACTTAAATTTGCATGGGAAAAAATCTGAAATCTTTCTCCTCACTCTCATAAATATTTCTCTGAAAAAAATGAATAAAAATAAAGCCCTTCCAGGATTTTACTGAACCCTTATCACATAGAATCTTCCCATATGCTTCAGCAAGCAACTGTCTCTCCATTTGAACTTGATAACTTGCTGTGATTGTTACCACTAAAGCACGAATTCCTTTAAAAGTGCTTTTGATACTCTGAACTGTCATTTTTTTCTG